TATTTCTCTTGGACATGTGTACGTGCCTTGTAGCAAAACTAAAAAAAAAGTGAACAACATATATAAGTTAATGTTTTCACTATTTTTTTTAAGTACAATTAATTTTATTATTTTGGATAAACCTTCCCTTTTAGACTCTGATATCCTTAAGAGCAGTACTATATCTTGTTATTCATGCTAAATGTTTTCATTGGTTAGTACACGATCTGGTATACAGTAGAAGTTTTATAAATTCTTTTCAAATGAAAGAACCAACCCAATCAGAAGATACAAGTAGTCTGCAAATATATCTAGGTCAGGAATTCTTAAATTTGGCTCCTTAAAACACCTGAGGGACCTTTAATAACTACTGATATTAGGGTCTCACTTTTAGCAAGTGATTTAATTGAATTCAAGTGCAGCCTGGGGATAAAGGGTTAAAAAAACAAAAACAAAAACAAACGAACAAAAAACTCCATGCTTTTGTGCTTTGGATGCTGTGCTGTGGTAACTCCATCCTGCATGTTCAGGTGGGGACTTACTTGAAACAATTTATCATGTCCTCTCTCTTAAGGGAATTAATATACCCCACCTCTCCAGAGTGTAGTAACTTTGTCATTTTTTCTTTTTTGTTTTAAGTTTGCTACATGGCACATGTACTTGCCATGGGTGGAGGAGAGAGAGAGGGAGAGAAATCATCCCCCAAGGGATGACCAGGCTGCAGTCCCTTTTCCTCCATTCTCCTCTTGGGATTTTGGGCACGCACATATAAGTGCCTGGTGTGTTTTTCAAGCCTCCGAGTCTGAAACTCAAACAGCTCAGCTGACCATGTGGAATTTATCACCTTAACCACCATGCCAGCTGCCGGCACTGTCATCTTTATAGAATACCGACTGTGTCAATAGTATTACATTATCTGTTTTAACTTTGTATATCCTTGACATTTAAACATGGTTATTTACATCTCTATTTTTTATTCTCTCCTTCCTGCCATTGTCATCTTCCACCCAAAAGTCAACCTTTCTTAGGTCTTTCTACCAACATGCTCCCTCACCCCAATACCTATGAGCAGGCAAAAACCAAAACTCTATTTGAATGTCTGGGGCCTGTTACACATTAATGTATTCTTTATTGTGCCACAGGATTAAAAAATGTGACTACATTCCCAGGGGTCTGTTCTTCTTATCTGTTAGATTTATGATGCTGTATAACATTTTAGTATAGTTTAGATAGAAGAGAAAGCAGATAGACTCTGGAACATGAGAAAGCCCCATATTACTTCCTGAATCTCAAAGAATTTAGTCATTTTCTTTTGAGGAAATAATGAAGGTTGAAGGATTTTATTGATAAACTCCTATGCTGTTTCTTCTATATGTTGTAAAATATGTATTTGAGCTCTAAATGCTCACTCCTCTGAAGAGTTAACAGAAACACAGCAGAAGTGATCGGAATGCTACTATATTTTATGAAGCCCTGAACAGGGAGCACAGCCTCACTTTATGGTTAAATTAACTATCGATCTACCTTTTAAACAACTGAAAGATGTCACTTTTCTCCTGAATTTTCAGAAGGCCTAAGTAAAAGACCTCTCTGTGTGGGAGTTGGCTATATAAGCGAAATGGTAGGCTACCTCTAAAATTCCAAAAACCCATTATCCTGGGGCCCATGTCTGAAAAAGTAAATGAGATATGACTTCTGCACACAGGCACATTAAATGCCACTCTTGAGTAATTGTCACATTCAGTCATTACACGGGCAACAAACATAAATGCCAAAACAAATGGTTTCCATCCCTCGATGCTGAATGTCTTCTTAGGCACCCTGGATGTGAAAGCATGAAATATTTGCCATTACATGAAGGAAAATGGCTTGACCATGTGGAAAATATCAAATGGTAGCACTTCTATATTAATTAAGAAGATATACAGGAAAAAGCTGAGTTGTCTTTTCCAAGGACGGAAAGGGCTTTCTCATCTGATGTGAGATGACAGCAGGTCAGCTGGCACTGCCTCTGTCAGTACTCTGTGGCAGTGGGTGAAGCCCTTCCAGTCGCCCCCATCCATCACCAGTTTCAGCTCACCCATGAGAAACTACTGGGGCTGGTTGGGACTTTCAGTCTAAGAAGCCATTAAAACTATGGTATCTGAAATTTCTATCTGGCTTGATGACTGAGGAAAGAATAACCAATCGAGTCTCTATATACAGTGACAAAGGTCAGCCTGTGCTCGCTTTCATAGAGTGTTTCCTGGGTGTGGCTCCAACAGTAGGGAATTTGAGTAGATCCTTTCAATAATTCAATACATACAGTTGTCCCTTGGTATCCGTAGGAGACCAGCTCCAAGATGCTCTCCAGATAACAAAATTCATGAATGCTCAAGTGTCCAACTGAAAATGACAGGGTATTTGCATATAACCGATACACATCCTTCTATATACTTTAAGTCATCTATAGATTACGCATAGCACAACAAAACCCTGGGTAAACAGCTGTTATACAGTTTTGTTTTTCATTTATATTTTCTTATTTGTGTATTGTTTTATTAAGTGTCTTTTTTTTTCAATAGCTTTGATCTACAGTTGGTTGAATCTGCCAATTACAACACACAGATACAGAAGACCAACTACTTATTGAGTACCTACTATGTGTCGGGCATTGTTTCAGACCTTGTGAACAAAGCAGTGAACTATTTAGCTAAAATTTCTGCTTTCATAAGACTTATAGTATAGTAAGAGGGAGACCGTAATACTATGCTTTGTGCTCCCTGTTAGTACCAGTCAGGATAGACGCTTCTCGAAGGCAGGAGTGTTTAAACTAAGAAGTGGGTTATGAGAAACTTAAGTAGAGTGAAGAATCCAAATCACCAATGGCCATCCTTCCTAGGGGTTATTTATCACTTTCCCTTTCTTTGCCTTTCTCTAATGAGCACACAGTCCCTATACAAAAAGAAAAAAAAAATTAAAAGGATTCTAGAACACTGTTTGTCTTAACTGGATTCATGAGCAACTTTAGCATGAGGCTTCCAGAAAGTATCCATTTTCAGTAGGTAGAAGTTTTTCCAGGAGAGTGGAAGATCCCTTTTCCAATAACAGGATTCAGGTCCAATGAAGACTTTTAAGAACTAGGCAAGGGGGGAACCAGCAGTTAGCGTAATGGCTATGTCATTGGGCTCCCATGTAGTCTACTGCGGTTTGCGTCCCAGACCCGGTGGCTTAGAACTCATGCCGGGCGTGTGTGCCCAAGATCCCTAGAGGAGAATGGAGGAGAAGGGATTGCGGCGTGATCATCCCCCCTGGGGGGGGGGATGATTTCTTGCTTTCTGTCTCTATGTCTCTCTCTCTGTCTGCCTGGCGAGCACACACGCCCTATAGCGAAAATCTCTCCAAAAAAAAAAAAAAAAAAAAAAAAAAAAAAAAAAAAAAAGGG